CTGCCTGCTATTCTCTGATTCTGGCAGTTGAAACCTTGTATATCTAGTGAGCATCAAGTAGATCTCCTAGCGACTACAATCACGATATCTTATTATGATGCTTTCAGGCCAGTGTTGCTATCTAGCTGTTGGGAAATTTAGAATCATCTGAATTATTCTTAGCTGGTGTTTTTGTCAGACAACTTCCTAAATTTAGCTCTTAAACTTAGTTAAACCTGTGGAACTGTCGTGGTTGGCCAATGCATAAAAGGTATCGTCCACTCCAGAATCAGCTTCTACTAGGCTAAATTTTCTCTTTCCTTATTTTGAAGATGGAGGAGGTGGCCATCTTGAAGGGCTCTGATTGCCGTGCAAAAGGTGCGGCACCAGGGTTCAAGGTCGCAGTCCTGGGTGCATCTGGTGGGATTGGCCAGCCGCTCTCGCTGCTCATGAAGATGAACCCTCTTGTTTCGGTGCTCCATTTATATGATGTTGTCAACACACCTGGTGTCACAGCTGACATTAGCCACATGAACACCGGTGCTGTGGTATGCTCCTTGACCCTGTCTTTATGTCCTGTTTCTGCGAAGTTGCTCACTGAAAATTGATTCTGAAAGGATAATGTAGTTGCATGTTGGTAGACCTCTAGTACAGTTGCTCTCCATGTGATCCGTGTAGGTTTTGTTTAGAGGAAATGAATTACTGAAGGAATGTATGTCTTCTCTACTGTCCTTTTAGCTCGTATGGTAGTTTTTTTTTTGCGGGGTAGCAAAGGGATCTCTTCCCCGATTTCCATTAAAGAAACCAATCGAGGTACATACAGTAGAGGTTTGGAAATTAGCATTAGCCAGCTGGTTGTTTCTGTGTTACAATCTTATAATCCATAACTCAGCAAACAAGTAGCCAATTTCCAGTGGCATCATGCATTGTTCTTAAAGTCATGAGATCTCCGAAGAATATATGAAGTGTCTGATCATTCAGTAATAATTGTGGATTTAAATCTGAAAACAATAAATAATGTTGCAAGGAAAACATATAACCTACTTGAATTTTATGTAACAGGCAGATATTTGATTGGCATAATATTAATAGCTGTCCACATATCTTTGTCCGCCCTAGCCTATGCATACAATTATCGCCTGATTCTTGAACCTTAAAGGTTATCTGATCATTGGGTGTAATTATGCTAAGGTATAATTTCTACAGGTGCGTGGCTTCTTGGGTCAGTCACAATTGGAAAGTGCTCTTACTGGAATGGATCTTGTGATCATTCCTGCTGGCATTCCTCGGAAACCTGGGATGACAAGGGATGATTTGTTCAACATCAATGCTGGGATTGTTCGGACTCTTTGTGAGGGAATTGCAAAATGCTGCCCAAATGCGATTGTGAATGTGATCAGTAACCCTGTAAATTCTACCGTTCCGATCGCTGCTGAAGTATTTAAAAAAGCTGGAACATATGATCCTAAGCGCCTATTGGGGGTGACAACACTTGATGTAGTGAGAGCCAATACCTTTGTGGTATGTACTTAAAAATTGTTTGCCATATTGCCCAATTATATTGCTAGTTTCTATATGGACAGGTTCTCAAATTCCTATTCCTGTCATTCTCTGTCTACAGGGAGAGGTTCTTGGACTTGACCCCAGAGATGTCAATGTTCCTGTTGTTGGTGGGCATGCAGGAGTTACGATATTACCACTCCTTTCACAGGTTATTAGCACTTGCAGCTGCTTCAAATTTTGAACCATATATGTAGCTGAAAAATTGTTTCCATCTGATGGAACTAGTACTTACTCTGTTCATTTTTTATTTTTCTTCATGGAACTTTGTTGTTTTTGTAGGTGAATCCTCCCTGCTCGTTTACCTCAGAAGAAATTAGTTATCTCACTTCTCGCATACAGAATGGTGGGACAGAAGTAGTTGAGGTATGGTTTCCCTTATCATCTAATGCCATATCTTGTACGCACAGTGGGGGGGATAAAAGTCAATTTAAAAGTTTCTTTTGCAATTGCTCTCTCTGAACAGTGGCTTAGTGACGAACAACGATTACGAGTCGAACGACTAGTCTAGACTAGTCGCTCGACTAGTCTATGAGTCGCAAAGTGGCTGTCGACTTGGTTTCTCGTGTAGACTACAAATATGAGTCGAGCCAGTCATCGACTAGTCGACGACTAGTCTGGACTAGTCGACATGTTCGAGTCGAACGACTCAAAAAACTGGGGGAGTATAAATACGATGGCTCATCCCGCGTGAGACGAGACCTAATCCTTTCTTTCCTCTCCTCCTCTTTCTTCTTGGCTTGCTGCTGGTGTTGCTCTGCCTCGTTGCTGGAGGACTGCTCGTGCTGCTCTGCTTGCTGTTGGTGCTGCTCTGCTTGCTGCTGCTTGGTGGTGCTGCCCTGCTTGCTGCTGGTTGCTGGTGCTGCCCTGCTTGCTGCTGGTTGCTGGTGCTGCTAGACTGAGTGTGTTTCAATTTCCAGGTCCTGAGGTCTGAGCTACAATGTCTACAACACCGGAGATTGTATTGTATACTGTACTTGTATACTTATATAGTGTAATACTACATACTACTACTAGGTATTATTAGTTATGTACTGTAAGTTCAGTGCTACAGTACCATGTCGACTAGTCTCGCACTAGTCTAGACTAGTCTATGAGTCTTAACCTTGGAACGACTCGTCGACTCTTCGACTCGTAAACGTTGGTGACGAAGTAATAGTTTTGTACTCCCTCCGGTCCATAATAAGTGTCACAGTTTTGAACAAAGGTTGAACTAACCTTAGTTCAAAGCTGCGACACTTATTTTGGATCGGAGGGAGAATTAGCTATGAATACTGTATTGCGTCCGATTGCAAGAGCTAGAATGTTCTTACGAATCAAACACATCATTAATCTGAACTCACAGCAGAACTGGGGATCTGCAATAGATTGGAAAAGAAGCAAGGAGAAAGAAAGAAGGCGGAGATAAGTCCAGGGAGGACTGAAATTCTATCTCAATGCCTTTACAGACTTAGTCCTCTCCTTTATGTTGCTGAAAGCTTGGATCGACACTTTGTTCAAACATGACTAACTCAATTGATAACGTCCCTCCTGTAGTAGCAGTACAGCTCAAACATTCTTCAGATATCTCTCATTGCATTTGTCTTCAGAGTCCGGCATGCTGGTTTGCAGTTCTTCAGCTTATAGTTAGCAAAGCTGAATAAGATCTGACGAGCTATGTTTTGAGAACATAAGAGTTAGAGCTCAGTAGATGTGAGATGGATATGTGAAATTACCAAATTCCTTGTGTTCTATAATAGACAAAGATGCACATATTAGTTTATTTAAGAGCTTCACAGTGTTGACAACAAAGGTCAATTATCAGGTGCATGTTAACTGTTAAGTTGAGCAG